TTTTGCTCAAGAGAAGGGAAAATAGGTTTCTTCTTGGTACAACCATGTTCTGGGGCCAAAGGCAAGAATCTCTGTGATTATATTTACCTGAAGTTCATGAAATGGAGTTAATGCAGCATATACTGAGTGTGCAGTAAATATCTGTTAAATGCAGAATTTTCTATCATGTTAACATGGAGTTAAAATATCACAGCTGGAAAGGACGTTTGTTCTACGGATAAGATGCTATCTTCAGAGAAGCAAAGTGACTCACTCAAGGGCACAGAGCACACTGATGACCAGACTCAGACCAAAATCCCATCGTCGGCAGCACCCCCACACCCATGCTCTTTCCCCAACCCCAAAGACACTCTGGCATCGCTCACAGACTGGGGAGTTTTATGTTAGTTTGGCAAGTCCAAAAACTTAAACACGCGAAGATAAATAGGATGAAAATGAGTTGAGAAATAAATTGCAGAGTTTGGCTCACGGAAAAGTTTATTTCTTTAAGAATATTAAAAGGGTCTGAGCCAAATGGATCACACAGCCTGTAATAGGATGCTCTAAAAAAAGAACAGAGTCTTTTCCTGGCCTGCCTGTACTAAATTTGCATATCCTGAAGGAAAACCCGGGGCTGCTGGGTTTCCTTGGAGGCCTCAGTCAGCTCAGGGTACAGGGGGCGCTCAACACTTCAGTGGGACTCCACTCTGCATATCATGCTTGAAGAGGGTGAGGGATGAACCAGGAACAGACCTAACCAATTGACAGTTTGGTTGGATGGAGGTGTGGGGAGATACCAGGAAATTCTTTCTTTCGTTCAAGTGGTAGAACAAACCGAGATGATTTTAGCCAGAAAAGTCTCAGGGTAGAGTCTTGCTACTTGTTCCTCCCAAATCTCTCTCAATTCCATTGATTCTTCTCCAGTATCACCGCCACTGACCTCATCCAGGCCACCGCCACCCGTCTGCTGGATTCCTGAAACAGCCACCTGGATGCGCCCTTTCCCCCATCCACTCCTCCCCCCATCTCTTCGCCACAGAGCAGCCCAGACGGTCTTTCTAACAAGCACACCTCACCATATTCCAGGCACCTGCCAAAGCACGTGGCATCTCCTCACTGCCCTCAGAATAATCCAAACCCATTCTCATCCGGACATTACACATATCACCCCAGTCCAACCTCTCCCTCACCCACACCTTCCTTTTCATACTCCAGACCCATTTAAGTTCTTACCCCACTACTGAAGAGCTTTTGTTTATGTACATTGTATCTATTAGTCGTTACCACATGGTGGATTAAAACTGAGAAACTTTAAAACACAAGGACACATAAGTATGTGTCCCATTAGCTGTCAGAGCAGTAAAACATCGCATGCCATGCAAGCTGCTGGGAAGCTCCACTGTACACTCAGGAAAGAATGAGCGTGAAAAAGGTCAACAGTGGCATAGCATTATTATGAAAATACCTTTGGACTTTGAGGACACACTACAAAGTCTCAGGAACCCCATAAGCCTCCAGATCACACTGAGAAAACCAGTGCTCTAAACATATCCAACTACTCTCACATTCTTTTTTTTTTTTTTTTTTTTTTTTTGTT